CACCCATGGGCCAGCCCGTGGCTGCCAGAGCTGGCTCTGGGCTCAGACAAGTCCCCCACTCCCGGTTCAGAGATCAGGCACACTGGCAGCAAACACTGTTACTATTTTTACATTGAACAGACCACAACATAAATAAATGGCTGCTTAAAGAAAATAAAAATCCAATTCTATTAAAAAATTCTCTTTAATCCATGCTGAACAAGGTTGCTGTCTTCCCTCCCTAAAGGAGGGAATTAAATTACTGTTTGGGAAGTGCTCAGATATCACAGCAATAAGTACCCCAGAGAAGCCCATGGGGAAATGAATAATTTTGTCTTGTGAGCACGGATAAAAGAGCACACAGCCACACAACACAGCGGGATAAACAAAGTTAACTAGCAGGCATCTTTCACTCATGCACCGATCCTGGAAAACGCAGTCTGTGGCCACATAGAGACCACACTGTAATGCAAATATACAAGAGGACTGAAGTAAAAACTAAGGCAATTTTGGTTGTGGCATTTCCTGACTTTCAAGAACTTTCTGCAGCTTCCACAGAAGCACTTCAACTCGAGCATGTAGCTTGCCCACAGCACTCGCCAAAATGCCTCCCCCAGTCCACAGTCAGCTCTCAGCCTCTCTCCTTCTGAAGGCTCTTCAAACACACATAGGCAGAGCTATTTTTTCATGGGGCTGATAGGCCATTCCCACAGAGATCAGCTGCGTGACCAGTGTCCACCACAGCCACTAAGTCTCCCCAGGCTGGAAAGGTAGGACACAGCAGAGCAAACAGCAAGAGCTAGCTGCTTTCTCCTGTGAGAACCAGTATCAGCAGGTAGCATGTCACCTAATTCTATTGTGGGTTTCACGGTTGGCCCCATCCTAGCAGAAAAGAGCTAGGATGCCTGGATAGCCTTTCACACCTGGGACAGACCCTTTTATCAACGCCACTGCCATAAAGCTTGCTCCCGCATCATTCCCAGTCCTAGTCTCCATCCCATTTATCCTCCTCTGCTCGCTAATTTCTATTTTGACTTCCCCGGGGGTTTTTCTTGCTGAACAGCCGATTTTTATCAGAGCTACTAAACAGCACACTCACACATGAGCATCACTTCCCCAAAAGTTTCAAAACGCTCCCCACCCCTCCCCGCAACAAAGGAGCAGAGAATTTCTCAGATAAGAAGGCTGAGGGAACCGTGTCATTTTTAAATGACTAAGCAGCCTCTTTCCCTAGCCCTCTTCTCAGAAACAGATGAACAACTTGGGGATGACACTTCCCAAAAGTATTTGGTGAAGAGTTTTGGCCCAATCTGGTGTGGGGATGAGATTACACCAGAGTGCAGACAGAGGGTATTAATGGAAAGCGTCAGCAAGCTGGCAAAGCGGTTATCAGCTCTTTCAGAAGGGCTCTGCTCTAAGGGCAGAGCCTCTGCTAAGAGTAGGCACGCTTCTGAAAGCAGCCAAGTTCTGTAAGTTGGCCTCTAAGTGAACAAAAAGCCCAGGCAAACATCACATGGCGAAGCACACTCATCGTCACTACTTCTGATGAACACAGATTTCGGTGGCGCAGAAGCTCAGAGCAGTTGCAACAACTCCCAAGGAAAACAAGAAACTGAACTCCAGGACGTTTTCCCCAGACTCCAGGCAGGGATCAGAGCATTTTACAGTGTGGTGGAAGTAGTACAACAAAACCAGGCGATCTTTCCAGCCAGGTGAGCCACTTCGCTCTATCAGGAGCCCTCAACTCGTGACATGCCAGGTACACAGTGCACACGCCGATCAGCTAAACCGCGTTGTACGGAGACGCAGCACACGTGCGTGCCTCAGCCACAGCACACACACTGCTCAGTGCAGCTTGTACTGGATTCGCAGCACTGCATCACATGGTGGGGAAGCACTGCTGGCCCCTGGGAAAGAGCAAGAGCAGGCTGCTACCATGGGATTTATTAAACCAGGCTACAGGCTGCTCCTCAAGCCAGGGAAAAAGCTTGCTGCCAATGAACTGCAGGCAAGGGAATTGCTCTAGGGCTGTATGATGATGGCGAGCTGCACGTTAGACTCTGCTCTATGGTAGGGATCACTCTCACCGGCTAATTGGCGACTTTTGATCAAGTGCTTACCAGCCTCCAAACTCACAAGGCACTAACAGCACTTTATGCAAGCTGTTCCCCTAGCAGACACAGGAGACACCAGAACAGGGCAGATTATCCCCCTCACTGTGCTCACAGACAGTCCCCAAACACAAGTAGTAACAAATAACTCGCATCCCAAAGCCTTTCACAGCTATCAGTAATGGCTTGAGGGGTCTATTCCTCTCTGAAAACACAGTGGCATTTCTCTTGTGTTTGAGGCTTATTAAATGCTGCCCACCCATCATCTCTTAATGCTCACAAATTGCTTGTTGGTCACCATACCCTTACAGGATCCAGTTCAGAGGGGCTCTTCACAGATTTCAACAGGAATTAAAATTTGATTGTCCTGGGCTGCTCACTCATCCACCTTGGAGTACAGACAAGGCGGCACACAGGGGACCCATGACTTTCCTGTCGCACTGTCCCAGCAAGCTCCTCTTGCCTGGTGGAGGCAGAGACATCAGTGTCAGAGGAGAAACTCCTCCAATATACACTGGTCTTTGAGCTTTTTCTCAAGTATGCAGTTTTCTAAGCCTGTACTTGTTACGAGATGCTACAGCATCTGTGAACTATGGCTAAATACACTTCTACATGTTTGTTTCTGGGCATGAATACTTTACTAGCTCTTAAGCGAAAACATCTGAAACCTGCACTCAAAATTTTGGCCCACATAAGCCCTAGCAAGCTCACTGTTACTGGGCTTGCCTGCAGTGTGTCCTCATAGCCAAGATACAGCCCTTCCCAAATGTTTTAAAGCAGTGGTTTTCAATCTCTGAAACAACCATTTGAGAGTTTTTGGTCAAAGAGCCATTTTATATGTTTTAGCAGCTGGGAGAAAAGTGATAAGACTGAGACAGCACTAACTACTGATGTAATGCTCTTTTACAAATTGATTTGCTAAATACATGGTTTGGTTTAGCACTGTAGTCTAGAGCCTTCTCCTGTCTGGGGCTATCAAGTCAATGACAGTCAGTTGTAAATTAAACAATCATTAAAACTTAATATCAATTTTGCAAACTGAAGCTTGAATTCATCCCCAGTTGGGCGGCTCTTTTCCCCTCCAAGGCTCGCTGGGCACCCGGAGGAGATGGAAGTGTGCGAAGGAGCTGGGGACTGCAGGAAGGAGGAGGGGGCAGGTATTGTTTCCAGAGACAGGTGGGAAGGGAAAGGAAATAACCTCTAGAATTGATGGGAATGGAAACAGAGATGGGAAAAGCAACTTAGAATTCCAGTTGTGACTTGATTTTGACCTAACTGACGGAGCAAGGGGAAGGAGAGAGCAGAGAAGAGCAGTCGCAGTTACAAACCAGAATTAACCCCCGCCTCCCCACACATACACTTTGGCAGGCACCAACAAACCTCTGATAGCTTACAGGTAACAGCAGTCTGTTGTTAAGAATCAGCTCACAGACCTCCTTCTGCAGCCTCACTGACCACAGTGCAGCAGCAGCAGCACGGCCATGCATTGGGTTGAAACGCTATCGACAGGAAAAGTAACTTTTGAAACAAAAACCAGAGCTATGTGCCATAGTCCAAACACAGCCAGGGAGGCATGTGATGAAAAACCCTGCAGGGACAGGGTGCACGCAAAGAAGTGGAGTATTTGCAGTGGCAGCTCCAGACGACACTTTCCTACTTCTGTCATTGCTGATGGCTGCAGGACTGGGGGGCTCCCAAAATTGTTAACTGTAAATCCCCACCTGCAGACTGATGCTTCTCTGTAGTTACACATTGTGTTGAATGAACACCCAAGCCCAGCCTAGCAGCAAGCCGACACAGGGAAGAGCCTGCCTGCAGTTTCACAGGCAGTGAATGGGATCTGAATGGGGTGCAGGCAGTGAGGGCTGCAGGACCTTGCTTTGATCTTCCAGGTTGGACCTCAGGTGTGAAACCATCTTCCAAAACAAACCATTACAGCCTTTCGTACTGTAACTCACTGATTTACTTATTCCTCTTTGGGGTTGTACACTTGAATTCTGAGGTCAGAAGGTGGCCTAGTCCAAGCTGCCCTTGTTCCCCACATGTAAAGGACTTCATTACAGGCAGCTGCTATAAACTTCGGGGGCCAAAGGAAGTCTGAAATGTGAGCGCAGCAGACTGCCTAAACAGGGGAATGAAGAGAGCCTTGCGATAAAAAAACCCAAAACAAACCCAAACCAACCCAACCCACCAACCAGAGCCTGGATTGTACCTTCCAACTCTGAGAGGCAGATGGACCCATCAGGAACCTGGTCCCCCTATGGTCAAGGCAAAGAGGAACATAAGGACTGGCTGAGCCATATCCTGCTTTCTCCTTCGACTGGGGGGAACACAGGGCAGCGGCAGGGCACCAGAGCTCAGCAGCAAGGAGCAAGACCCAAAGGCTTTGAAGCATCCGTCAATATTAGTCAAGGGAGGGCAGGTCTTTTAAGAATAGTATCAGCAATCATCACATCTCACTTTTCAGAGCAGAGCATGACAAGGAAGTCACATGCAAAAGAGCTGCACTAATGCAACACTGTGAGATAAGATTAAAACTAACAGGAAAAAGTAATATTTCCGAGAGCTTCATATTTCAGTCGGTCGTGTGGTGACCCCTGCGTTTCAATACTCAGGCATTAAAGTATATCTACAAGTGCAATGTTTTCCATAGTCTACAGCCTGCCACTGGTATGTAGCATGTGGGGGGTTCACAGGTAAAAGAGTTGCCTCAAACATCGCTACTGCATTTTTGCAACTACGTCACTTGGTCTGATAAGAGACTTGATCTCTCTAAATAAATTGTTCTTTGTGAGTGCTAAGGTACTGCGAGGAAGAGGAGACAGCAAGAACCACAAGGACAGTAGGGCAAATCAGTCATTTTCTCTCAAACGGTAAGGAAATAAAAGTGAAGCAGGAAGAAAGCGGTACCTCTGTCAAAGGTCTCGGTCTTCTCTCTACAACAAATTCTGTGTGGCAGAGCTCACAGTAACTTGTGTTGGAGGAGGATAACCATTTTTCCAGGCAGCTCTTGTGCACGGTGCCCAGTGTTCCTGTGCAGTCACATGGGGAAAGCAGTCCCTCCCCATTTCCACCTTCATGACAGATTCGACAGATGGGACCATCACTAAAGAGGCAGACAAACAGAATGAAATCACGGTCAGAGCAGGCAGAATGATACAGCCACATCGGAGAATGGGGTCCGATCCCACCAAGCCCCAGAAGGGTGCATGCACAGCAGGCAACACGTGGCAGAGCGTGCCAGGCGTGCTGCGACTCTCCAAAGCAGCCTGCTGCAGCAAGAAACCAGTCTCAGGGGAGTGTGGAAATGCCTGGCACATTTTAGGTCAGTAAAATCTGGAAGCCGTGTTGATGAGCACCACAGCACACAAGAGAAGCCGGCACGTCAGCCTGTCCAGCTCAGCAGGCCACAGAAGGGACTGCAGCACGCATGCCCCACAGTCTCCAGCTCCGCTCACAGCAGGCAGAGAGGCTGACACTGGACCTGAAACCAACCCTGAAGCCCTGATGCAAATCCAGAAGCCCAAAGTGAAGCCGGATGATCCACACTAGTCACAGTGTGCCCCCAGCCACCTGGAGCCACTCAAGAGGTTTGCAATCATAGTCGCATTTATCAGATCGCCTACCCACTCTCACCCCATCTCTGCTCTGCATCCTGGGTTTAGCAGTAACTGCATAAGGAACAGCGATATCTACAGACACAACTACATTGACCCTGGAAGCTCAGCTCGCCAAGGACACAACATATTTCATGGCAAGCAGTCACCCAGACTAAGTCCTCAGCATACAAGCCCTCTGCCCATCACAGTACAGTAATTTAGCATCCTATCTGCACAGCACCACGCAGAGAACCATTCTGCAGCGTTCGGGCCTTTAACTGGCTGGTGCTGCCTTGGTGCTTCAACCACCACCACTTCTTACCCCCTCCTTGGCGAGAAATTTCAACTACAGAATCAAATCTCTTTGATCACGCTCAAGATCTGCTCTCGTGGGACCTCACAGAACCAGAGATGCTTATCAAGGGAAGTATCAAATGCTTTCAGAGACACTTGCAACCTTCCCTACAGGAGGCCTGCACTGCTGATAGCACTCAAACCACCCATTTCTTCCCAAGATGTTCCCTCACGCCTCTAACTGGCGCCACTGACTGTGGACTAAGGCGCTACTGCTCCAGCATCCAGCAACCGTTAGCTCAGGTATATCAGATGATATTCATGCGACAAATTTCCATCACAGACTAAAGTAATGTTTTTTTTTTTTTTTTGCACCTATGTAAACTCAGAGCATCCAGTGTCCTCCTGTAGCCAGGACTTTCTCTAGCTGCACAAAGAACCAAATCTTTTTCACTTGAAATGTCTCATTTGCTTGTTTTGTGTACTATCCCCTAATTCTTGTCCTGTAAAAGACAATGTTTTCCACACCCTCCAGATTTACAGACCTCCAGCCTGCTCAGTCACCTCCTTCACGAGCAGAAGAGTCCTAGCCTATTCAGTCATGCCTTAGACAGAAACACATCCAACCCTTCTGATCACCCTCACTACCCTTCCCTCTACCTCTTGCATTTCTAAAACATCCTTTTAGAGCTGCAGGGACCAGAGCTACAGTTTTCAAGATGCGGATGCACCAGGGATTTTTGCAGTGACTGTGTTCTGTTCTTCATTGCTTTCCTAAATCTTAGCATCTTATTTGCCTTTTGGTCACTGCTGCACGTAACTGCCACATGTCCAAGATCCTCTCCTCCAAACCCGCGAACACGTATGTAAATCTCAGACTATTGTTCTTCATCTGCATCACTGCACACTGAACTGCAACCATTATTTTAGCCTGCAGGCATTTCCAATAACGTTCAGTTCCCTAAAGTCATGCGTCTAGTGCCATTTTAGGTCCAAGGGCATACCAGCTGGCATGCGAAGGCACAGGTTTCCTAGAAGCCCTGTGCCACATCTGCCAGCCCCATAATGAGGATGACTTGGGCTCCCTGGGAAACCTCAAATGGCTCTAGACACCGAAGTTCGCTATTCTGAGCAATTCAGTACATCTCTTCAGTGTTCACCGTTCGAGATCATTTAGGAATAAAATGCTGGACAGCAGAGGCCCAGTGCAGGGCTACCCTCCCTGGACCATGAAAACAAGCCATTCACTAGTATCTCACTTCTCTCCCACCTTCAACCAGCCATTTCTTTCACACAACCACCATTCTCTTACATTCACAGGTGCATGGATTTGGGGGTGGGAGGGAGGGTGAGAAAGGAACATCTTTATTTCAAAGACCCTATTGCATGCCCTCTTGAAATCCAGGTGAGCTGTATCAGCTATCATCTTTTTCCACATATTGCTGACAGTACAAAAGCCACACTGATCCCATCTCATAGTTCATACTCCACTGCTATTCTGGCTTTAAAAAAAAAAACACCTGACTGCAAAAGAAGTTTGTGGGATTGCAACACAACAGTCAGAACAAGCAATTTGCAATCTTCAAAAGCAGTAGTGCTACTTCCATTAGTTTGCACAATCAGACAAAACAGAAAGCAAGAGCAAGACACGGAAACACAGTGCAAGGAAAAGGAGTGTACTGGGAAAAAACGTTGGTGGGACATAAAGGGAGGAGAAGAACCAGCAAGAACGTGCACGTCAACTCGCTAAAGGAGAAGCAAGACTCCTCTCCTGGTGTACCATAGGAGATGTCTACCACTTTCAACTCAATGTTTAGCAGCTTTCATCCCAATTGGACTTTTTAATCATATTTAGGGCTGTGAAGCAACATACACCCACTGCACCATCCCCTTCTCTCTGCTAAACATCACTGGTGAACCACTGACCCTTGTTCTCTCCTCATTTTCATGTGCTTTTTATTTAGGGGACTTCTGCAGCTGGGACAATCCCTGCAACAGGAGTCTGGAGAGGTGTTGGCAACTCCATCCTCAGAGATACTGAAAACTGCATCGGACAAGGCTCCGAGCAGTCTGATCCAACTTTGAAGTTGGCCTTGCTCTGAAAGGAGGCTGGACTAGAAGTCCTCCAGAATTCCCTTCCAGTCTGAATTATTTGATGATTCTGTAACCTTTATTGCCATAAAGCTCAGTGCTGTATCAGAACGACAAAATTACAGTCCGCTCACACAGTCTTAGTGACAGGGACAGACCAAAAAAAACCCCAAGCCTCCAGTGCTCTCATGCATCTGTTATTTCCTAAGAAAAGCATCTGTAAGATATTTCATCCATTCTCTTCCTGTTTGAGAAGTTTCATATTTCCAGCGCATTAATATAACCTTGGCTACCAATAAACAATCCAGAAGGAAAAAATTTGCTGACAGTGCGACAAAAGAAATTCTTATCAGACTCCATTTTCCTTCCTTCCTATCCGGAGGGGGAGGGCGCCTGGTCACACTCCCACATGATACACCCTCAAACACAGTTTTCCAGCAGGCTGTAGAGACCATATCACTAATTCAACCTTCCAGTACAGTCACGCTGCTCCTGGCTTCGCTTTGCTAAGTGCTGGTGACAAGAAAGAGACTGAAACCCACCACCACCAAAAAACTAACTGGTGTCCCATGAAGACACTCACATGAGGAATGCTGTTGGTTTTTCTTTAACCTGTAATCCCAGGCAGTTTCCCCACCAGATTTTTACACCTCCACAAGTTTTAAGGGGTTGCACAACTTCTCGCCCAGCCTATCTGTTGTCAGAGAGCAAGCTCAGTTCCCCTCGTATTTTTATTGACCTGCTCCAGGTTTGCTAGATATAGCAATTATGTTTGCCTCAGTTCTCATCTAGCTTTCCTGCTTTCCTCCCCCACGTTTGCAGTCACCACTTTCACACCTCATCAACGTTTGGCCAAATTAATTAAAAAAAATAACAGCTGTTCAGACAGGATTTGAACACAAAATGTGACCAGTCTCACTAGCTGGACTGAACAACGCTGCCAAGTGTCCTCTGTTCTGGAAGCTGCTCAAAACACACGATGAGAAGTCACATCAGGAAGAGTCTGAGCAAGTGAAGCTGCCACACGTCCCCTCTAGCAATAACTGGACACTGCAGTTCCTGCAACACAAACACCCTCCTCTCCCTGGGACTGCAAATCGACACCACGTCTTTACTCCATGACCATCTTGGAACAGGGGCTGTGCTCCATTTTCAGCCCTTAAATCACCTCCATGAACATCACACTGCCCTTGCTAGCATGGCGTCCCACCTTCACTGCTGCTCAGCAAGGACTTGGCAGAGGCACATGGCAAGAGGCCGCCTGTGCCGTCTCACGCTGGAGCAGCCGCAGGCCTGGGGGGTTTTGATGAACACGCAAGTCCCAATCCACCAGCACATGCGACTAGCATGAGCTCCCGCAAAGAGAGCGCAGGCCTGGGAAGCATCTGGCTAACAAGGATTCACACTCACTATTAGCGCCCCAGCGAACTCCTTCACAAACAAGACTTTGTTGTCTCACTCTACCCCTAGAGCCACAAAAAAAGGGGGAAAAAAAGCCCAGATGCAGTCATCCCAAGCCCCTTCCCTGAAGCAGCCTTACCTCTGCGTGCCCAGTGCCTTGATCACCGTCGAGAGGAGCCGTCCATCCTTGGCGGTGACCTGTGTGACATACTGCGGGCGACTGATGTCGGAGTCCTCCACCGACTTGGAGAGGGCGGCACGTCCGGGGCAATCGCACAGGGAGCCAGGGAGGTGACAGCAGTCACCCGTCGTCATGGCAGCTCCGGGCCCCTCTGCCCTGGGGACTAGCACCGGTGGCACGGAGACCTGTGGGAACGGGACCGTGGCGAAAGCTGGGTACCCCGGACCGCCTGGCCAGGGCACAGGCACCCCCTCACCACCCTCCTCCAGCCCCACGGGAGCTGGCAGCACCCCAGCGCCCCAACAACCACGGGTTTTGCTAGTCTTCTATCCCCTTTAATAGGCTTTGTGAGGCTGTCTTACCATAAAATTAAGGCTCCAAGTGTCCTACTTACATAATTGAGTGTCAGAATTGCAAATTTGCCTTTCCCAGAGGGAATTCCTGGTACAAACCCTTTAACCTGATGAAGCCTTTCAAACCGAACGTGCCGACGCAGAGATGGGGAAGGCAACCAGAAGCCTCACGGGCCCGTGTCATTCTGGTTAGAGCCATCCTGAAAACTTATGTTCATGCCCTCTGTAAAAGTTGCAAAGTTTCACCTGAACACGGCACTTAAACCACTTCACATGGCTCAGTTCAGGGAGGCCCTTCTCTCAGCTGCGTTCAGGTGCTTTATGAGCCCTTTAAAGCCTGTCCACCAAACTCAAAAGGGTCCCCCCCGCCCCATCTTTGATTTTCCATTTTTTTATTTCTTTACAGAAATGCACGCGCTTCTGTTTCCACATCCCATGTGGTACATCCCAACAGCGAACGTGCGGGTATTAACCACCCAAAAGCACTGAAAATCCTCCCAGAGCTCCACAGAAAGGGCAGCGGGCCAGTTTTCCTCCTTTCCCTTTAAATGGTTCAGACTGATCGTGATTTTTATAACAGCCATGTGCAAACAAGCAAAGCACACCATCACGTTTTCAGCACCTCTGCAATTTACCCAGCAAAGACAGCACAATGAACAACCAGCAAATGCAAGAATCAGGGAGAAGATGCAGAGAAAAAGTCCAATGTGACAAACCAGGAGCTGGCTCAGATGAGCCATGTGCAGACGGGAGAGCTCTCCGCCTTTGAGGGAAAGCAGCAGCTCGCCCAAGCTGCCAGCAACAGCCGTGTTGCTCCCTGGCAGGGGTTATCTCAATCCCAAAGGCAGGCATGCTTTGCAGATTCAGAAAAATCCCATTTTCTCCAATCTCCTTTAGCCTGGTCCCTAAGAGGCAGCTGTGCAGAAATAAAGAGCTGGGGTTACGATTAGTCACAAGATGAACACAAGCCAACAACATCGTACTGCTGGTAAAGACCAAAATCCTTGTGTCTGTAAACAGGACTGCCTTATGTAAGACACGCACAGTAATCCCTGTGCACCAGTACTGCTGGGATCATAGCTGGAATGGTGTCTCATCCTGGTGGCCGGATTTCAAGAGAGAAACAAACCCATAAGAGAAGTTCAAATGAAAGCAATGAAAAGGATAAAAGGTTGGGGGGGGCACACCAAACAAAAATAACCCCAACCCCAAAACTTACCAAAGAAATATGAAAAGAATTACGTTTGTTTAATTTAGGGGGTGTGGGGGGGAATCGTCAATCTCTGTCTCCTGGAGGTAGAAGCAGGCAAACAAACCTTTGCCATCCCATCCAAGGAAATGCTTTTTTGTTCCAAGAACTCTGCACAACAGGAGTCAAACATTCCCATGAAACTGCAGTTTCATCAGGTTCAGCTAAGCCTAAATCAAACTAAAATAGCTAAAGAAAATAAGGGCTTGTTCCTGGTTGGAGGCTTGGCCAGACTACAGAGGAAGAAAACAAAAAGCCAGTACAAGAACGTGATCATCGAAGCCCTGAAAACACTGATTTGGGTAAGCGCAAGTGTTCTTTCATGTCTTGGAAATTAAGCAACTCTTACACAACCAAGGGCTTCATCTGTCAGGATGGCTCCCTTCGTGGTGAACATGTTCAAGAGGGAGAGAGCACTTCACTGGTCCCATCATCAGACGCCAACTTTGGAGGCATCCCCTCAAGTTACCGAATATTTTCTAATTTCTAGTAGAAAAGTTTCTAATCTATTAAAGCTGCTGTTGATAACTATCTGTAATCCTTCCTCCGCAACTGAACAGGAATAGGCTTGAGCTTGTGGGCAGGTCAATCCCCATCGAAACAAATGGGAATCTTTCCATCAACTTAAAAATGAACTTAACAGACTCAGCACTGCCTTGACTCAGCTTCTCTCTCCACCTGTGCAAAGAGCACACAGGGTTAGAGCCACTTTTCTTATTGCTCTCCTTTTTAAAAAAAAAAAAAAAAAGGCTACAAGCTCTCCAACTTTAAGGAGCAAAAAGTAAGAAGATAAATTCTATTGGAATGACTCAAGTCAGCTGTTTTGCAAGTTAAGTTCTTTCAATTTTAAAAGCCTCTTACTGAACCAGGCACGAGAAGATATATGCTTTTAATAAAAAGGTCGGTTCCATTTGTTCAGCCAAAACGTTGTTTATTTTTAAGTCCAGAGGAAAAAGGTCCATTTTGCGTATTGGAATAAAACTGCCCTCACTCCCTGTGTCCTGGGAGTATTTATACTGAGGCTCTTTGTGCTCCACATCTGACAGATATAGGCAGCACCGTGTCCTTGCCCTGGCAGCCCTATTCAGGGCTGAAAGGGAATCGCCACCCCATCGTCCATCAGGAAACGCACAGTTTTCTATTACAAGTTATTTGGCGTTTCCTTGTCAGGGTCCATCCCAGGGTGGAACCTGAAGTCACTGCTTTAATATCTGACTCATGCCATTCAGCAAATACAAAGGAAAAGCAGCAAGACTTTCATGGATACAGTTAGTGAGGAAGTAACTGAAATCCAAAGATAACATCTGCAGTGTACTCCAGTTCCAATTTCATACCCAGCTGAACATGAACCACAGTGTACAGCCAAACCAGTCCCTTTCCTGGCTCCCTAAAGGCTCAGCTCATCAACACACAGCCTTCTCTCACAACTGTCAACAGCTCATCGAACCCAAACCCAGTGTTACAGCAGGAACACCAAAAACTCGGAGTTGGAATCAAGACTCAAACAGCTGGTTTGAACCACACACTGTTTTTTCTGGGCAGCTGTGATTTCTGAGCCCATTCCTTGGGGATACATTTCTTGTTCTCATTTAAAAAAAAAAAAAAGGTCTCTGAGACATTAGGTTTATTATCAATATCCCCTCTGCTGCTGCAGTTAGACATGAGCAAATAAATCAGAAGTATCTTCTCAGCAACGTTTTGTATCCTCAGCTTCTAAGCAGATCCAGAATATAGAGGGCTGAGTTTGTAGAAATTACTCAAATTGAAGAAAAACAAACCCTGTTTGTGGAAAGTTGGCTCAGAAGAGCGAGTTATGCACTAGGACTCCAAAACTCAAACACGTGCAGCAAGATGAGCTGGTTCCTCGAAGAGCAGCTACTGCTTCTTCACTGGTTCAAGGCAGAGACCACGGTGCTGGTGCAGGATCCTGCCCGCTACACGGCTTATGCAAAACACGCCAGCGAAATATCCCCCTTGTCCATCTTCAGACATTGCAACAAGATATGTCATCCATTTTATATCATCCAAAGGGCAACAGGGGTTTCAAAACTCCCTCAAATGACTGAACAGCTCAAGACTGCAGAGATCAGGCTGGACCACTGCTCTCCATCCAGAAGACATGCCCAGCAGGAACAAGCAGAAGACAAGGAGCTAAGGGGTCCCCCAGCTCTGTTCTGCATATTTAGACTTTGCAGCCCGATAAGGCAGTTATTTTTCCCAGACAGGGAAACCATAGCAGGCCAGATGGATACCTTGATCAAAGCCACAAAGAGAAAAGCCAGAATCAAGATCAGAAAGACAAAAACAGGAAAGGCTAAGGCCAAATGATCACAGTAAAGGGGAGTTGTTAGATGTAGGTCATGGCTCCTCTGGGCTGCTTGGGGCCTGTCTACATGATGACTATCTCAACCAGTGTAAACCCTTGGAGCAATTCTGAGGCTTCGATAGGACCCAGAGCAAACTGGAACTAGAACCAGCTCCACCTTCTTCAGGTGCAGCTCATATGCACCAGCTTCTGTGCAGATTAAGTTCCCTGGAACATCTCCACCAAGAAAAAAACCCACCTCCTGGCAAGGCTGCCAGCAGCTAGGTCTGTTCCTCTCACTGACCAACCCATTTCCCTGATTACCGTAACCAAGACCTGGCACTTCACTACAGTGCCTCCAGGGGATAACCAAATTGTGTAAGCCAACAAAACCCACCCATCTGTACATAAGTACTTTTTTTTTTTAATCTAGCTAGTAACCCACTCACTGTGTGCAGATCACCAAAGCTCCGACTGCCGCTCATGCAAGATGACGTTTAACCCCCAGGAGCAAGGCCACCCAGCCTGCTTTCCAAATCCATTTTAGCTAACTTGGGTATGCAGACACTGTGTGTTCTAATCATATGATCCTGCAAACGTCATCAGTGAACTGAAGGTTTTCAGTTGCTAAAGGGCATTTCCAAACATCAATGCTTTACTTTTCACCATGAAAACTGGATTTCCCAAATCCTGGGGCCCGAAGATCAGCTGAACACAAACTTCTTGAGGGAGACAAGTACAAAGAATTGCTTCCTTCACAACATCTAAGCACCTGCTCCCACACACCCCGTCTCATCCAGCTAATGCACATCTTTCCACAGCCCAAGTCCAATCCCAGGCCTGCAACATGTCTTTAAGCACCCACCTCTGCCTACTGCAGGTGGCTGCAGTGCCTAACTGGTATACCTGCAGCCCCTGTGCTCTGGGCACCTGGCAGGGTACCCCGCCTCCTATACATCAGGGAGGGCAAGCTCTGGCCTCCAGACTCTCGCACCCACAGTGATTACACACCCTGAGACACTGCCACCAAAGATATGCATGGGCAGGATGCGATGAGTAGCCTGAAGTGCTCCCTGCTACTGTTAAAAGTTTGCATGAGTGGTTTAATCTAAAGAAAGGAAAAAAAAACCAAACCAAAACAAAAAAACCCAAGAACCGGTCCCAAACTGCTGCAGGGCTTTGTTTTTCAGTTTTGTTTGTTTAAACATACTCTCTGCTGAGGGTTGCAGACCGCAGCATTATTTTGTTCTTTAAAAAAGTACGTAATTTTGTACGTCAACTATCTGACTCCCAAAAGTTACCCTGCAGGTCTGCTGCATAACGCCCTAAAAGTACCCGAAAAGCCAGCAACAGATCTGCCCACACTTGATCCATCAGCTGAACGTAGCTCTAAAGCTTCACAGGATATGCCCTCAGGCACAGAGAAGGAAATTCTGCTATGAGACCTCACCGCAACTCTCACATCGCCCAGGACTTGGGAAGAATCTCGAGTCATATGCTCAGAAGTCATCTGAATGCAACGGTCCTACAAGTCAGGGTGCAACAAGCCCTGAGTAGTGAGAAAAGTGACACAGCATTTTATGACATATACCCCAACACACAAAGTAAGATCTGATGCCACATAACAGCTTTTAAAGCATTTTAAAATTTGGTAGATAATACACAGACAAGCATTTCACTCCCCAGGCAGCTTCTCAATTTCCTGCCTTGCCTGCAACATTTGGTTGACAGTTGCAGTTAAAGGAGGTGCTGTAAAAACTTCAGCATTAACTTGCTCTTCAGACAGTGCCAGTGGAGCAATGCTGTGAATCAGACAGTCATGGGACAGACCTGACCCTAGGCTCAAAACAAAACAAACCCCAAAAAGCAAGGGGAAGAAAAAAAAAATCAAAGGACAACATCCTGGGAGCTCATGAACCTTGTAATAAAGCTTCACACCAGGAACTTCCTCCTACACCTTTAACAGCAAAACATACAGGCTGAGATACCGTGAAGTACCACCGCTGTCCACCGAGGCTTACCTGCCTCAACCCTAGGGCTGAATTTCAAACATCCATAATGTACTCCAAGTTTAAACACGTAACACCCAGGAGGAGGTTAGACACTTCTAGGAAGCAGCCTTTTTAGACTCCTGTTTTTGTCATATTTGTACATTATCTACCACTGCCAGGGACTCAACTTCACTGCCTTTCAACTATTCCAATAACACAACTCAGCAGCAGTGAAATAGTAACGCAGGCCTTCACTTACCGGGCTGGATCCTGCTGGGGACAAAGGATCAAAACTTCTCCATACCAAGCCACTATTTAGGCATATTCTAGAAGCTCTCTGAAGTCTTGATTATTTAGACTATGGTCTGATGGCAAATGAGTTTGTTTTCCAGACACAGATGAAGAGACAGTCTTCCACAGAATGCGATTTATTACTTTTTTTCCCAAACAGACACCTTGCCAGGATCTGATTTCTATTCCCCGTTGGTAAAAAAATATTGC